ATGTGCTTTACAGGCTCTGCGTTCCTGCCCCACACTCCACTTCCACCATTTCCGCTCTTCAAACGCAGAAGGCACAATCATATAGGAACAGACTCTTCTGGCCACGCCGATTCTTGCCTTTCCCAATACCAAACCCCTCACAAATGCCAAATCACGTGAACACTCCCCATTTCCAGGTGTCCAGTCATTTCGTTAAATTGTGTTGTTCTCGTTCCTACTGGCCTTTCGTTCCATTTTCCTCACCAGTCACATCTTCTCTGCGTATTCTTTTTATGAACTTTCCATCTGGTCACATATAAGATTCTTTGCATTCTTACACTCTTTATCATGCATATGCATTGACGGTTATATCCGGTCTTCTAAGTGTTGCGTGGTCTCATTTGTTTTGCGGCAGTCTCCTCTGGTATTATTCTTTCCTTTTTTGGTCACTGGGGCAGGGTTACTCCTTAAGTAGCTGCTGGACGGTCAATCCTACGTGATCAACTGGATCTGAACTGGCAGTTTGGGTTTTCCAGACGCCAGGGCTCTCCACCCACCGTTACTCTTAGAGATAGATTACTTCCCACACATAACCAAAATCACATTTCAATTAAAAGAGTTTCATCTGAGTGTTCTGGCATCTGCACCTGCACTATCTGGTTCTACACTTTCATACGCGCGCTTTTCACTGGCTGCGTTCAACTGGCTGGCACATCATGGCCCTGTCCTGCCCGCTTAGCTTCCCATGTAACACCGTACACGTAGCCGTTATCACGGAGACTTAGTGTGTTCTGGTCGTATCTTCTGTGTTTTTCTCCGCCTTCATCCTCGACTGATCTTGTGCCCTATATCAGTCTCTTTCCGTCGTTGAAGCCGTTTGCTTCTGGGGTGCGTCTTTGCTTGGTCAACACACTTTCAGCTTTTCCCTCTTGCTTTGAGCTATCAGCGCAATCATCCCATCATCCGCGTTTGAGTTCTGTATTGGTCGCAGTGGGATATTATCTCCTTGAGCATAAACTATCCCTGTAGACAATTTTCCTTGTCATAAAACTTTAGTCTACTGTTCAAATAAAAAATATAGGCCTGTTTCAGGATATAGCTTGAAAAAAATCCTTCCGTCTGGACCTTTGGAATGGGAAATTCTGGTCTTCCGGGGTAATTCCGGCAAGGTGATTCCTACAGTGCATGGCTTTTCATAGCAATTAATTGGCAATGAACAGTAAAAATGGTAAAATATTTTCTTTTAATATTTAAGCCTGGTACAGTTTTTGAAGAGCCTTAACGTATTAGGCGGCTTATAGTGAAGCAATCATTAAATCCACCCATGTTTATCTTCTGCATGCCAATGAGGTGCATCCCGTACAATTCTTTCCCTGTTTATCCTTCTCCTTGTTATCTTTCCCATCTTCCCCTGTTCAAAGCGCAAAACTCTTTAAGCTGGACAGATGTTTTGAACTTCCCACTTCGCATCAGCCTAGCAGTCACAGAACTTATCCGGAACACACGCGCCGGGCGCACATAAACCCTAGGACAAGTTTTTCGCTTTCCTGATCACTGATTGTTACCGAAGGCAAGCAGTTGGGCGTGGAGAAAGTTTGGTACATGTGAGTAAGATTAGCCTCCTGAGGAAGTGTCTGATGGTGGTCGGGTGTAAGGACTAATGGTTTTGAAAAGTTATCATCACCATTGGTGATGAAATTTCACTGCAATTTTTGGTTACTCGTTCAACAAACCACGGGTAGACTCACTGGTGGC